CATTAAATGGAATTGTTAGGTGTGATAACATTAATATATGAATCCAAATTCAAATTGTCTCCTTGCTTATGAATGGAATTTTAGTTAAAAACAGAATCATACAACACAAGCCTGATTAAATGTAACTTATTAAAATATATATATATATATATATATATATATATATATATATATATATATATATATATATATATATGAGGCCGAACGTATAATGTTCCGAGGCAATATAGAAAATATCAACCATCACTAAAAGATTAAAATATGAAGGAAGGCCTTTGAGAATCACCTTGGAGTGTTGTATGTTTAGGTTGGCCAACCAATCTATTAAAACATTGTGATTTTAATAATATAATGACATTTCACTATCCAGTTATCCTTACGGATATGTTAACTGTATTGAAACAGCGCATGATTTGCTAATCTTTCCTTGGGACGACCAGCTAGCATCTTAACCAAAAACTCATAATTACATTCCCAAATTACTTGAAATTAATTATATTTTACGAAAAATATTATTAAATGAGATACTGACAAAAAAAAATTAATATACGAAATGTCTAATTTAAGTAGTTTTATTTTTGCTTTAAATAGTTAATTTAAACATCTCTTTAGATTTCAACTAATTAATAATTCACTCAAGCCATTTAAAAATGCGTGTCAATATATACAATTAGTTGAGTTAACGAACATCTAAATAGGCTCGTTATGAGAAAATTTAGGTTTTAATGCCAATGACTAAAATTTTATTTCGATCATTGACTAGTACATAATGATTTATTGATGAAATCTACCTCTTGAAATTTACGAATCCAATTCTTAAAGAAAAAAATCATCATTTTTGTCTGTACGATCAGCCAATCAAAAACATAATTATTTATGTCAGTTGTTAAATGTAACGTGACACCATTAATTGATAAAATAGGTCGTGTGTTGTATAACTTTCCTAATATAAGACAAAAACGATGTTTTATTTTTTTTGTTTGCTTCACTCAAAATGGCGGGGTTTGAGACTTTGAGTCACACAAAAAAAAAAAAAATAATAATTATTTTTATCTTTGATGAGAAGGTTCTCCAGCACGCAATCCACATTATTGGTTAACGGTATCACATGAAATCTAATGTTCACATTGACAAGTTTGTCAAGTTGCTAAGTGTATTGATTGAAATATGAATATAAACCAGTTTACAGTGAAATAATTTTTATTTAAATACCTTTACAAAAAAAGTAATAAGTTTGACAATAAATATTTTTGAGGGAGATATACTTATAACTTAAAGGTTTTACAATTTTTTACAAAAATCTAAACCGTTGATTTCTGTCAATCTAACGGTTATAATTTATTAATTGGATCATATTTATTAAGTAATTATTAATTCTCAATAAATTATAACCGTTAAATTGATGAAAATCAATAATTAAGATTTGGTGATAAGAAATTATAAAAATTTTAGGTTGTAAGTATATCCCTTCTCAATATTTCTTATTAAAACTTTGTTAAACATGTTTTAACATTTAATCTCAAATTGCTTTTTTAAACCATGGTTTGAGTCAGGCAAATGGCCAGCGATGCATGCTCTTAGTCAATTGCTAAAATAGGATTTTAGTTGAAATTCGAAAAAACAACAACCTAATAATAATAATAATAATAATAATTTTGAGTTAATTATAAGATGTTAAACAATAGAAAATGGCTGAATTAAGGGTGAATGGCCGAGGAGCACAATAATAACGCCCACAAACAAAAATTGGAAATTGAAGAAACGCTGCATTTGGAATCAATGAAGCCTACTAAGCCATTCCAATATATTGGCTGAAACTAAATAACCAAGGCAATTTGAAAACTAAAAAGACAAAGAAGTTACTTCATTTAGCAATAAGAAGACGTAGATCGATAAGTGTTAGCGTCAAGATTAATGAAAATAGTTATTAAGTATTTCGAAATTACAACTGTTAATATATATAATATTTGTCCTTTTAAATAAAATAGAGTTGTGTTATTTAAGTGAGATAAAGATACAACTTAATATTTTTTATTTAAAATTTAAATTTAAAAAAATCACTCATTTTCTCTCCCATGATTTGTATTACTTGTGTCTTTCTCTCACTAAAAATAGCATAATTCTATATCTTTTAAAAGGATAAACACACACACAACAAATATATATATATATATATATATATATATATATATTATCGCGTAATATTTTAAATTTAATCTAAAAATAGATTATAGTATTTACGGATTATAAAATAAATTTTGGAAAATGATATACTTATCACCAAAAAAGTTTACTACCTTTACAACCAACCTAATGATTTCCGTCAATCTAATGATTATAATTTATTGAAAATTATTGGGTCATATTTATTAATTAATTATTAATTTCCAATAAATCCAATAAATTATAACCGTTAGATTGACAAAAATCGACGGTGATTAGATTAATTGTAAAAGTGATAAATTTTTTTGTGGTAAGTATATCCTGCCCCATTTATTTTAGAAAAAAGTATAACATTTTTAAAGTCCATGAAACTTCTCATTAGATTGAAATAATAACTTGATAGATCAGGTCACAAGATAAGTCAAGTAATTCACATATAGGTAACTAATAATACAAGTCATCCCTTTTGGTTTTTAAATTGATTTTATGCACTAGAAGAGAACTTTTTGTCCAAATCGCTAAATAAAATAAAAAATATTTTGTTTCTATTGTCATCGTTTCCTTACTGTATTTTTAAGCTTTCGTAAATTTATATTTGGTTATTTAAATTTATTTTGCATTTCAGTTTTGTTTTATTTTTACATATAATATATAATGCAATATCAAATAATCTTAGTCTATTTCAGTCAATGTTAGGGGATGTTTGTAAAATTTAATAGGTCAAAGTCCACAAAAAAAGAACTTAAGAGAAAGACAATTTCAATACCTGAACAATATTAATTTCATTCCTTAAAAGTACTATACGATATATTTCGTAATCGAATTCAAAATTTGATCCGGTTGTTATCATATGAATTCATTTGAAAAATCTATTCCATGAAACAATTCAAAACTTATTCGGAAAGGAAACATTTTTGTTGGCTGACGGAATCAATCAGCATAATATTAAATTAAAGTTTGGATTGCAAGAGCCAAGATGGAAGAGGCAACACTTATCTTAAATTCTATTAAAATAATTTTTTACTAATTAAGGGTTATAACATTATATAAAAACGACATTTTAAGCGTAGTTATCCTTTTCTTAAAACACAAATATTCCTATAAATAAAATAATGACGACAGTATATAATCTCACACTAAATTGTTATTAAGATTACTTGTTTGTTTTTACTTTGAAAAGTGAAATACCATTTTTATCCTAAACTTGTGTTTATAAAACAATAGTTATTTACAGTTACATATAAAAAAATTCCTCAGATAACTCGCATAATTTTCATAATCATTATCCGTTTCCATCTCTGTCTCTTTAATTCATTAATATAAATGATATCTAATCTCCTTTATGAGTTACGTGAGTTATCCATAATTCCAAAAAAAAAAGCATACAATTTAACAATTTCCAATTTTGTCGTTTATTATTGCTATTTGTTTTGACATTGAAATAGGAAAATATTAATGACAACCACAGAGTGAGACGAATAAAATTAAAAGAGTGAAATTCCGGAGCAGGTATAATAGATTAACTCTGATGAAGCATTTAAACAACTTAATGCACATAATAATCTAATAATTTTTTTTTTTCATAACATGGCAGACGATTTCTCTTGTGTGTCTTTTTAACATGATTATTTGGTCCGGTGATGAAAAATTTGGATAGATTGTAATATGTCATGTGTTTAATTTTCACTTGTATATAAAAAAATAATTGATAAATTAATAATTATAACATTGATAATAAAACTTATAAAATAAAAAAAATAATTTTATTAATTATTGATCTATTAATAAATGATTGAAATTTAACATATAACATGATCGATGAACTAAAAAAAATGATTCGTTCACTAATACAACTTTGTCTAATTTTATTCGAATCAAAACCAAGTTAATTGCGGGTTTGAAATTAAAATATACTTGAAAATTGAGTTAGCTGAGCTCTATGCTTTATTTAGTCCTATATAATAAATTATCTACAGAAAATCTAATACAACATCGTTTTGAACGGAAATCACGATGTTTTTATAATTTTAATTTATTTCAGGGTTATTATAGGCTTTATAATTATAATTTTTTAATCTTTCAATTACAAAACAACATCGTTTAGAAAATAAATACAGATAACTTATCTACATTAACTGCAGAAATATTTTTCTGATAATTAATTTAAATTTTTGTTTTTGAGAGTGGGATAATTTATATATATACTTTTCTTTTCTTATAATCGCAGTCTTTCTCATTTTTTTTTGGTATACTCAGTCTTTCTCATTTTATAAAACCTGTCTTCTTCTGTTTTTTTTTTTTTTTTGCAAATATTTCATTCCGTTCGTCGTTTCGTGATCAATCCGATTCGGGGTGGATCTCAAATTAAGGCTTTAAACCTTTCTCAAAGGTCATGTCAAATAAAAAACCAATTTTTCTCTTATTTAATTAATTCTTTATTCAAAGATTTTTTTTTTAATTTCTCTAATCATTATTGAAATTTCCTCAATCAACATTAGACATAATGAGATATTATTAAATGACTAATAAAAATAAATATTTATTTATTATGCAACTATTTATTATACTTAAAAATCCATTTACAAAATATAATAACTAAGTAATCCTTCCCTCTAAAATCTAAATCAACAATCTCAATTTCTGTGTGCTGCCTACCCGTTTTAACAGCTGGAGTTCAAACAACCCCTAAAATCATAGAAAAGCCAAAAAGCAAAGTGCATAATTTTTTTTTATTTGAATTTTTTATTCCCAAAAACAAAAAAAAGTGTGATGACGTGTCCAAGATCTTCGTTACTCCTACCCCCTTCTCTTTTTTCCTCTTCCTTCTGTTCCTTAAAGGGATCCCTCGTTTTCTATTTCTATGCACACTCATTCTTCAACCTTCACCTCATTCAACCCCTTCATCTTCTTCTTCATCATCGTCACCATGTTGCAGATTCTTCTCCTCCTTCAATGATGGGTCTCTCAGGTACCATGCTCTGTTTCTCCCACCCCTTTTTTCCTTCCCCTTTTTTGGCCCTTTCTAGTGGAATCTCATAGCCCCATTTGAGATTTTGATCCAAAATTTCTCTTTTATGTGTTTGCACACTCTTTCAGCTCACCCCTTTTGTTGGGTCAGCTTCTATTTTTGTTTTTGCTCACTGTTCTGTGAACTCTTGTCTAGTTTAATTAACTGTGTTTGTGTTGTTTCAGTGATAAATATAAAAATGTGTACTTTGTTGTTGGAATATCACATTCGGTTTCTGTAACGTCTGTTTTGTTGTGTGGAGATGATGAAAGAATGATGATATTTGGTTTTTGTCTGAGAATAGCTTGTGGGGTTTACTTAATTTCAATCTAAAAGTGGATTCATTTCAGTGGATGCATATCATTGTAGAAGCTATAGAGCAAAATGCAATTGAATCTTAATGTTTTTGAATGAATCGTTGTTGCCGTACCAAATGCTTATTTTGATGCTACACTTGCTGTGATATCTATTTCTGAAGTAGAGATCATTAATTTTTGGCTCTGGTATTGCTCTTTTGTTGTTTAATAGATCCAGTCCCTATTGCAATTGATAAGCCACTTACAAGGTGCTATCAGCTTGCTGACCTTGGGGGGATTTGGTCTGAGTAGGTAAGCTGGTCACAAGTTCACAACATGCCATATTATATACAGAGACTTTATAGGCTATGCAAGGCATCCTTTTCACCAGATGGACCTGTGTCAGAAGAAGCCATTGAAAAAGTTCGTGAGAAGTTAGGTATAATTATTTTTTCCCTTGCTAATTTTGCTTATAAATACATATTTGTTGTCAACTCATGAATGAAATTTGTGAAGGCATAAATGACTAAATAGCACTTGATCACTTATCTCTATGCTTTCATCAAAGCCAGTTTAGGGTATTTGTCTTTTTGATGGAGTCACAGGCTCAAGGCTAAAATTTGAGGGACGGTACAGGAGCCCTGTTTCTATTATTCTTCGCTCGTCCTCTTTTTAGGGGTGGAGTATGGGTCACAGTTTTCTCTTTAATTTTAGGATGAATTAAGAATTGCAGCTTTTATGTTAAACCTCATTTCTTTTTGCGTAAAATATGTTTTACTTGTCAGTTTTGATAATGGATTCTAGAGATGTGGACCTATGTTTTTAAGGTGTGGTAAACAATGATTTATCATGAGTTGAATATTTAGATTAGCTATTTTCAAACCTTCTCTATATTCCTTCTTCAAGAGACAATATGGCTGCATGCTTTTTGGTGAATGAGAAATTACCACATTGTACTTTTTGTTCCCTGATAATTTTCTATGTTAGATGATTTTGATCTTGCCACTCAACAGTTTTTATGTCCAACTGATATTTTCTTAATAACCTACATAATGTTTCTGCAGAAAGAATCAAGCCAACTGATGTAGGTCTTGAACAAGAGGCACAATTGGTTCGGAATTGGTCTGGTCCAATGCTTGAACATAATGGGAGCAATCGATCCTTGCCGCCTATCAAATACTTGCATTTGCATGAATGTGACTCCTTCTCTGTAAGCGCAGTCTCAAAACTCCACATCATGTATATTCAGTCAGCAATTTTTATAAATTTGGGCCTTAATTTTGCTATAGCAACTGAAGTTTGATTAATAATTTTTACTTTATCTTATGCAGATAGGGATATTTTGCATGCCCCCCTCGTCTATCATTCCTCTCCATAATCATCCTGGAATGACTGTGTTGAGCAAGCTCTTATATGGTTCATTATATGTTAAATCCTATGATTGGATTGATGCACCTGGCTCCACTGATCCATCTGAAGGTCTGTTTTCTATGGCTTTACATATTTTGATGTTGATCAATCCAATTTTTAGTCCTCTGTATTTGCATGGGAATGTGGTGTGCCCTTCCTTACCTTTGCCTTATCAAAGAATTCTAACGATATCCTTATTGAGGTTGGACAAAATGGTGGTATTATATTTGGAATCACTAAAAATAGTCCGTGCATGTATCCAAGAAATAAGATAAATGCATGACCTTAATTAGTTGAGAAATCAATAGATGGCATAAGGACTTTGTTGATGTTATTGTGTGGTCTCATTCAAAGCTATTAAAACATGTTCTGGAAGAGCTAAAATTGTCATGAAAATATAAATTGAAAGTGAGATTAGGGATATAAGGTAGTTCTTAGTTACTCATCTAATTCCTGATCTATTCCTTTGAATCTCTAGGGTTTTTGGAATTGCTTGAGCGAAAACTCAGCCATTTTGGATTTATATAATAGGGTTACAATATTCAAACCCTTAAATTGTAGGGATTTGCAAAATACACACAACTATAGGAGATGGAAAGATGAATAAAAAATATTATCTATAATAATTATCTACGATAATCAGCACTCATCTAGCTAATGCATATATGTAATATGCATCAAGCTTGTACATATGTAACATATCCTTGGGGCCTAAAGATATTGGTGAAGATTTTTGCTAGTTGATCATTGGAGTTCACAAATGAAGTAGTAATTTTCCTAGAAAGAGTTTTCTCCCATATAGAAGATAATCAATCTCTATGTGTTTGCTCTTCTCATGAAAGATTGGATTGGCAGCAACGTGCAATGAAACTTGGTTATCATAAATGAATTTCATAGAGCTTGTCTTGCTAAACTTCAATTCTTGAAGTAATTGTTTTAACCATATATGCTCACAAATTGCAAGAGCCATAACTTGGTATTCTATTTCTGCACTTGAGCTCACATTTATGTTCTATTTATTGTTTTTCTTTGAGATGAGGTTACCTCCATTAAGGACACAGTACCCAGAAGTTGATTTTTAATCACTAGGAAAACCTGCATATTCTGCATTGCATAGCCAACATCTATATATTCTCCATTCTCATAAATCAGTTGCTTTCATGGGAACTCTTGATATATCTCGAGATTGGAATTACTACATCCCAGTGGCTGTCACATGGGGAGTTAAGTAACGGACTCACACCACTAGCAACAAAGGAAATAACTGGTTTGGTTATTATGAGATAAAGTAACTTTCTCACTAATATGCAGTATTTTCTTGGGTCTGAGTTAGCCTCTCCAAACATCATAATAAATAATTGAAAAAGTAGATTTTGCTCGGTTATTCACCTTGCTTAGACAGGAAGCACAAACTTGTTTTCCCAACTGATATGATTCACTCTAAGGACTGCCCATGACAGAGATGGGGAGCCATCTTGAATTTATCAAGTCTTGGATGATCCAAACAATAATGAAGAAGATCAGGAGTTTAAGTGACAACATGTAGTTGAGGATGGAGGATGAAAATAGGAAGACTATGTGATTCATATACTGCTCCAATCATTTGTCTCGTACCCAAGTCCTGTTTAAGAAAATAATCAGCAGTGAAGGTTATAGAACAATTAAGTGGACAAGTGAGTTGGCTGTGAGAAATTAAATTGAAAGGACAATTGGTTATAATACAATAGAATCTAAAGATTAAGATGGGATTTGTGTAGTTTGACACCTTGACCAATGCCAAGTTATGAACAGAGTCATACAAGCATTGTCTCTGAGCTTTCTGCATATATCAATCATAGCATGTTTCATAGGATAGGAAGTGAACTAAAAGCTTCGGACCAATTGATTGCCACAATAAGGATGCAAACTGGTAATTTTCTTTTCCATGCTCTCATTGGCAAGAATAACTTCAGCCTTTTTGGTCAAGGGCTTGGAGGGTCCCTGGCATTAAAACTATTTATCAACAGCAACATAGCAATCCAAATTATTCTTATCATTCAGTTTCTCTGATGTTAGAGTAGGTGTAACAGAGAACACAAAGCAGACAAGGCTCTTCTTTGGGGAATTATAGGTGATAAAACAAGAATCCGTGGTGGGGCCATGAATGAAGGTCAACAACTTGCCCTGGTAGATTAAGGTGGGTCTTGAGGGGAGATGATGGCTCAAAAAGGAGCGAAAGGGGCCAACCAGAGGGCTGGAAAAGCGCCTCTATGAAATGTTCACCAAAAGGTAGTGTGAGTGCTTTGTAGGCAGAGATGAGCGGTGCGCTGTGAAGGTGCATTGCTTGGCAGCTTGTGTTGGGCCTTCTGGGAATGGGATGGTATGGAGATTCTGAGTTGTCTAGTCACCTGACTTTGGTAATTGGAGACTTGCCAGCGTGATTCACGTCATTGGATGCTTCGCCGGATGTTTTAGGGCAGTGGTCTGTCGTAGTCATGACCACAGAAAAACAGAAGGCTCTCGAAACTAATTTGAATTTCTTGGGATTTTTGAATTGCTTGAGAGGATCCTCTCAGCCAGACAGCCACTATGGATTAATATAATTGGGCTACAAAACAATCCCTAAATTGTAGGGATTTTCAAAAGACTAATAACTATCAGATATATCAAGATAAATCGGGAATATTATCTATAATAACCAATGAAAGCATTGCCTTTTTTCTCACAATGATTATCTGCAAAGTGAGACTTTTCTTTAACTGTGTGGTCTATTGCAAACATGAACTTGATCTGGGGTAGAATCAAACTGATTATGGATAGTGTTGTGATATATAACAAGAAAGTCCATTTTGCTGCATTCTGGAATGCTGTCTTTTTTTTTTTAAACAAAATTTCTTAATTTTGAACTTCCAATCTCTTTCTCCCTCATTTGTGAATTAGTAATGATTAATAACTTTAATCTGTTCTCTTGTAACCAAAATTTGTGAATCTGTGATTGACAGCTAGACCTGCAAAGCTTGTCAAAGATACAGAGATGACAGCACCGAGTCCCACAACAATTCTTTATCCCACAAGTGGAGGGAACATCCATTGTTTTCAAGCTATAACTCCTTGTGCAATCTTTGACATATTGTCTCCACCTTACTCTCCAGAGCATGGAAGACACTGCACTTACTTCCGGAGATCACAAAGGACAGATCTTCCAGGTAATCTGATTTTTTCAATGGTGGGTTCTTATTGGAAATTAAGAGGGCGAGCCTGGAGTAGTGGAAAAGCTACTTCTTTGTGACTGAAAGGTCACAAGTTCGAATTTAGGAAACAGTCTCTTTGCATATATGCAAAGGTAAGGCTGCGTAAAAAGATTGCCTTCATCCAACCCTCGCTAGTCGGTGTTTAATGAGGAATGGTGGGTTCTTCTTGGAAATTCTGTTCTGTTAACCATAGCATACTAATGTCAATGTTCATTTCAATTGCAGAGTTGAATGGAGTTACGGTTTCTGAAGTGACTTGGTTAGAAGAATTTCAACCTCCTGATGACTTTGTGATCCTGAGAGGGCAGTATAAGGGTCCAGTTATTAGAACTTGAAAATTTTCTTGTTTGCTGTGTTTTACAACAGAAAGAAATTGGCCTCTTATCTTTAGGTTACAACGAAGGAAACTGTGGAATGTGGTTTCAATAATTATATTCTTTGGCTATGTAAGTTAGGCATTTGGGTATGTACATAATAATGCACTAATGTAATCTATTTACAGACCTCAGCTTAATCCTATAGAATAATGACGGAATGTTGAAGTAGATTTTCCAGAGCTTATCTTAAATAACTATTTTTACACTAAAATATTATTATATTGCTGCTGACTGCTGTAGACTTCAATGAATCGAAGCACCTCATAAAGAATTGTTTTTGAATGTGATTCCCATCCATTTTCATATTTTGATGGAGATTTATTGCCAAAATTATCAATTTAATTATTGATATGTTGCAAAACTACACACAGCTTAGGCTTTAATTGCTAGGATTTTATTTAGATTTTTATTTTGTATTCTCTTTCTAATTTCCTTATTTTTAGGTGTACTTTTTAAAAAATCTAATCTTTTGAGAAAATTCTCGCAATAAAGAAGATTTATGCAAAGTAAGATTGATCAAGATCTAAAATATTCTAATTGGAAAATAGGATTCGGAATAAGAATTAAAGGGGTTGGAGATAGAAGTTAATAGGAGTGGATTATGGATGAGGAATTTGAATAGTTTGCGTGACGTAATAGTTTTTAATTTTATAAAAGGAGAATAAAAAAAGAGTACGTGATTCAGTGGAATTTAAAAGACCAAATTAAATAGGAAGGAAGCTGCGGTCTTAAACATAAGACAATATCAAAAGGGAAGGAATAGTTTTATACAATTTGTTTGTTTTATGTTTAGTCTGTAACCTTTAGTCTATTCTCAACCAAACAATGTCAAATGACTGACGTCATTTAGTTAGTTAGTTTTCGTTACATTACATTTACTTTTTACTTTCCTTCTTTTTCAATAAGAAAAGTTTCTTGAGTTTTCTCTCTAGCTTTCCTTCATTGTTACCTCTTGCATGTTTGGTTGCAATATGGTATCAGTTGACATCTCATTCGCTGCTTCATCTCTGGTGATTTGAGTAACTCCTCGATCCATAAATATTTTTTTGTTTTCTTGACTTTTCCGCCTATTATCTCTTTGCTTCGTTTTCATTTCTTCAAAGTCGACAATGAATTCTCAAGATTCATCTTCTTCAACCACTCAACCTGTCAGATCCGCCATTGATGATTCTTCGAGTCCTTTCTTCCTTCATCATTCTAACAATCCTAGCTTAGTGTTGGTCACTCAGCTCCTCACCGACGAAAACTATGCATCTTGATAGTTTACGATATATATTTAACAACAACATTCTAAGCTAAGAAAGGAGATTTTTAGATATCGGTAGTTGTCCGGTCGTACCCAAACAGTAAGATTCCAGAGGAAAATGCACCTAAGATCAAATATTTCGAGCCGGCTTCCGTGGAAAATTCAGACTTTCTTTTTGATGCTTAAGCCGAGCCATGAAGATTGCTCTTGTGGAAATTTTAGACTGAAATTTTAGACCCAATTGCACTTGTGGAAAATGCCCATGTGGTGGTATTCATGATCTGTCTACCTATCACCAAACGGAATATATAATGACTTTTCTCATGGGCTCATATGAATCATATGCCAAATTTGTGGTCAGCTCCTTCTTGTAGATCCATCCCCACCAATGAATAAAGTCTTCTCTCTTGTTGTTCAAGAAGAGCAACATTGGAAAGTAGGTTCTCAATCCTCTTTCAATTCAGATTCTGCCAATACTTTAGCATTTGCTGCCAAGACTGCAACACATAATAAAGGAACACAAAAGGAGAGACCATTTTGCACTCATTGTCAATTCCATGGCCACACTGTTGACAAATGCTACAAGTTGCATGGAAATCCTCCGAGTTTCAAATTCAAGTATAAAGGCTCCGTTGGTACTACTAAGAATGCTCTAGCAATTAAAACTTCCACCAATCTGGTTTCTGCAGATGTCACATCTGTTGCTCTTGTTTCTAAAGTTGATTCTATCCCTCCATTAGACACTGCTCAATGCAGCCAACTTCTTTTTTGTCTAACTACATGGTAAGTTCCTGCAAATCACCTGCTTCTGTTGAAGGTTCATCCAATGCCTTTAACACAGATGCTTGTTTATCAACATATATCTTTTCAGCCTCAACTAGTTCAGTTTTTCATTCACCTAACATTTGGGTAGTTGATTCTAGCGCATCTCAACATATATGTGTGTTGGGAAATTGGTTCCCTCGAGCTCGGCTTCACAGCCTTTGCAGAAGTCAGCCAACAAGATCCTGGATCTCGAATCTCGGCAATTACCTCGGCCTGAACTTCATCAGGTCGGGCAGCGCAGCGAAAAAATAAAAAATCACAAAAGGAGAGAGAGAAAAGGAGAACACATACAGTTTTTAACGTGAGAAAACTTTCTCCAATGAAGAAGTAAAAATTCACGGGAACTTGTCCAGATCAAACGTCCACTATGAAAACAATGGATACAAAGAATCAAATTCACCAATGTGGTGGTTAACACAACCTCTCCAACAATGGTGATAATCAAACTACCCTAGAGATGTTTCACTCAAACTCTCTCTAGAGATCTCTCAAATACAAAGCACAAAGCTTTGCTAACAAAACTCTCAAATAAAATTCTCTCATCTAACCTAGCCTCCACCCACAACTAATGAATATATAGAGGAGGTGAAATCTAGGGTTAGGGTTTTTAGGAAATCCCTCAATGGGCTTGGGCTTAGTATTGAATGAGGAAGCCCAACAAATCTCCCCATCCGACTTCAATGTGTCAGCTTCAGCATCAACCTGGCTCCTTCACAGAGTCTTCAAATTTTCTTGTTGGAACCGGCTTCGTCATCATGTCGGACCAATATCAGAAAATCTCCGGCCTCATACCTCTTCACAAATACACAGTAGTCGGCTTCTGTCTTCTCAAACTTGTGATCAGTCATGAATGATTCAAACTTCTTGTACCACTGCCGAGGTGCTTGCTTCAAGCCATAGAGGCTCTTCTTCAACCGACATACCAAGTCTTCTTGGTCTGGAGCTCGGAACCCCTCAGGTTGCTCCATATATATTTCTTCTTCTAAATCAGGGTGAAGGAATGCTGTCTTCACGTCCATTTATTCTACCTCGAGGTCCATCGAAGCCGCCATAACTAACACGGTTCGGACCGAGTTCATTTTCACAACAGGAGAAAAAATCTCCTCAAAGTCTACCCCTTTCTCCTGATTGCAGCCTTTCACTACAATTCAGGCTTTGTATCTCGGCTTCTGCCCGTTCTCTTCATTCTTAATCTTGTAGACCCATTTATTTTTCAGAGCTCGTCTTCCTTCTGGCAACTTGGTCAGCTCATAAGTTTAATTCTCGTGCAGAGACTTCATCTCGTCTTGCATTGCCTTTTCCCATTCTTCTTTCTCTGAGCTCGTTACAGCCTCATCATAACTCTAAGGCTCACCGTCTTCAGCAACAACGGTGTATTCATCAGATGGGTATCTTGTAGAGGGTTTTCTTTCACGAATTGGATATTTAGACTGTTCTTTAGCTTGAGAACCCGGTTCATCATTCTCATCCCGGATCTCAACATGAACTCGGACCTCAGTATCTTGGTCATAATCAGCTAGTTGCTGGTCATCATTTTCTTGATTTTCTCCCCCTGCTTCAACTCGGACAGGAGAGATGGGTTCTTCACGTCTGATAGTAACCCGGACTTTGGGCTTCAAAATTTCATGAATGGTCTCATCTTCATGAAAGATCACATCTCGACTTCTCACTATCTTCTTATTGATTGGATCCTAAAGTCAGAACCCGAATCACATCTCGGCGAACCAAGATAGATGCATTCTTTTGTCTTTGCATCAAGTTTAGCCCTTTCATCTTTAGGGATATGCACGAAGGCTCGGCATCCAAACACCTTCAATTGATTATAGGTCGCTTTTTGACCTGTCCAGACTTCTTCTGGAATTTCTCCTTCAAGTAGTCGTGATGGTGAGAGGTTGATTAAATCAACAGTAGTTCTTACGGCTTCTCCCCAGAATGATTTCGGCAATCCAGCATTGGATAGCATACTTCGTACCTTCTCTTCAATAGTCTTGTTCATCCTCTCAGCAAGTCCATTCAACTGTGGAGTCTTGGGGGGCGTCTTCTCAAGTCGGATCCTGGCCGCTCTGCAGTATGCATCAAAAGGGTCGCAATACTCACCACCATTGTCAGATCGGACCACCTTCAATTTCTTGCCAGTCTCCCTTTCTACCATAGCATGGAATTCTTTAAAGGATTGGAGTACCTGGTCTTTAGATTTCAACAAATATACCCACACTTTGAGGGAGTGGACATCGATAAATGAAACAAAATACTGAGCTCCTCCAAGAGATCTTTCTAACATGGAGCAAACATTAGTATGGACGAGGTCAAGAATATACCTGCATCTTCTGGGTTGATCCGGTTTTACGAAAGAAACCTAGTGCTGCTTTCCAACTATGCAGTGCGTGCAACTCTCCAACGCTTGGCCTTTCAACCCGGTCAGTATTCCTTTCTTGTGTAGGATCTGGAGCCTTTTCACGCTCATGTGGCCGAGGCGCTTGTGCCATAGCTCCAAACTAACAGAATTGGCTTCTTCGCCATTGGCTCCTTTCATCACGTACAAGGAGCCTTCCTTCTTACTTCGGGTAACAACCAAATTTCTCTTGGCCAGCTTCCATCAAACACTACCGAAGTAGTTCACTAACCCGACATCGTCAAGCTTGCCAACCGAGATTAGGTTCAGTCGCATGTCAGGAACATGCCTTACATCTTTCAACATAAGTCGACAGCCAACATCTGTGGTCAGGGTCACATCATCGACACCAACAATCTTGCTGGTCACTTGATTTCCCATTTTTGCGACTCCAAAATCACCACCTCGGTAAGAGGAGAAAAAACCTTTGTGTGGAGTAACGTGGAAGGAGGCACCAGAGTCAATAATCCAAGTGCAGTCATCATATGCAACATTCAAATAATTATCCTCACCAAGGAGGAATATCTCGACATCCGGGTTGGCAGCCACCGCAGTGGTGCTCTTGTCTTCCCTCTTCTTGGGAATAATTTGATCCGACTTCACAGAGTCGTTCTTCTCGTCATTCTGCAAAGTTCAGCAATCTGGCTTCTTATGACCTGTCTTTCCACAGTAAAAGCACTTCATCTCATATTTCGGCTTTGATCGACCTCTGAACTTTCCTCTTCTATCACGATC